GGAAAGAGTGAGGCCCAGTGACGGGGCAGTCATGGGGTCATTCACCCCTGCACCCCAGACCGAGGCTGTTTGACACACTGAGGGGCTCAGAGTCATTATGGGTTCCAGCCCCAGCTCCCCAGCTTCCACCTGCTGTGGGACACTGCACATATGCCCTGGCCTCATGAGCTGGTTGCCTCATAACCGACGGGGACGGTCCTCCTTTCTGGGGCTGGTATGAAGGTTAGACAGGCAGGAGACTCAGCGGGGACTCTCCCTGGTGGGCAGGTGGCCCGGGCCCCAATCTTATTAAAGGGGATTTCCCAAGGGACAGTGACAAAGGGTCTCACCGAGTCTCTCATTCTCGTGTCCAGAGTGGCGCATCTGCCAGGGGACTGTCCCCCAAGTCCCTGCCGGGCCCAGGGACCAGCATGTCCTCAAGGTCCCAATCTGTGCCATTTCAGAAAGAAGCTGAAGCTGTGGGTAGGTCATAGAGGATCCCAGAGGGACAAACACTGGGTCACTGAGCAGAAGGGGAAGTGGCCCTGGGCAGTGCAGCCGGGGCAGACCTGCCCAAGGCGGTGTCCGCTCAGCACAAAGTTGATCCCAATGGACTGACTGACGGACAGACAGACAGGAGTCCCAGGTCCTGGGGCCTGGGGAAGCTTTCTGCTCCCTCTGCCCCCAGCCTCCCTGTGCTCAAAATCTGTGCTCCTCAGGGCAAGAGGGCAGCAGTCGGGGAAGGAAACAGCACCAGCTATACTCCAGGGGCTCTGGGTAATGTGTGACCTTTACAGGCCTCAGTTTTCTCATCTGTGAAATGGGTATGGTCAAGAGCCCCTTTTTCTCAGGGTGGTTGTGAGGTCCCTGTGCTAAGAACCAAGCAACCTGGCTGGGCCGAGGGGCCCTAGACCTCCCACCCCACCAGGGCCTGGGCTGGTCAGATGCCCAGGGGAGCAGAAAAACTTCCCTCTTGCGGCTCAAGCTGCCCTTTCAGGCAGCTGTAGGGAAACACCTGGGGTTCCTGGGCCCAGGGCGGGACTGTGTGCCATGCAGGCAGTAAGACGAAGTCACAGAAAACAGTTCCAAGAAACATGGACACGGCTGATGAGAGCCCTGGAGATAGCAGGCTGTCCTCCCAGGCTCCGGACACCCTCTCCCTCCCCCGGGTCAGCAGTAGGTACTCACAGTGTCACAGGACAGAGGGTGGAGGTCCTCCTGGGGCCCCAGCACCCGGCCTGCCTCCACAGTCCCTGGGGAGGAGCTGGGGGCCCTCCCCACTGCAGGGCCTGACTCTGACTTCCTCCCTGCTCAGCCGGCATCCAGGAAACCACGCCCCGGGGAGAGGTGTCAAGCACCCTGGGCCCCCGCCCACCCCCGCCCACCCTCTGACTGGGCCCCAGACACTGCCCGGGGGCTCCTCTGAGGTCTGACCAGGCCAAACGGCCTGCCTCAGGAGGCTCTGGCCCATAAATAATACAGCTCCCTCCCTGACCAGTCTCTCCTGGCCGATCGCATTTCGGGGCCACTTGTTCCCCTGAGGATCTTTATTCAGAGTGCCAGCCTGGCTGGGTCTCCGGCCACTAGGAGGGTGCTACGCTCTCACTGAGGGCCAGCCTAGCAGGCGGGACAAGGTTATAGGACAGGTGGCCACAGAGAGAGGCTGCCCTACTTACTCCGAAAACAGCCCCAGGCCAACTGGGACCTGGATGGCAGGGCAGAGTGGTCAGCCTGAGCTCCTTATGGCCAGGTACGGAGGAGGGTATTGAGGCCGCAGTGCTGTCAGCTCCCCACGCCTACCTGGCCCATCCCCGACTCTCAGAGGCCACGTTGAGGTCCCTCCTCCAGGATGGGGGTGATCTAGTCCCCATCCAAATCCCCACTGCCATCATCTGCCGGTCTGTCTCCTTTGGGCATCAACCATTGTATCTCTTCTAGACTGGGGCCACTGCCTCCTGATGGGTCTCTTCATCCCCGGAGCCCATGCTCCTCCCTCTCTACTGTCTCATTTCCTTAAGCAGATCCAGTGATTGTTTCAAAACAGAAAGCACATCAGGGCACTATCCTGCTCCAAACCCGGCCCTGTCTCTCCCCCACCCCAGTACATTCTCACGTCCTCAGAAGGATCTGCCTGGCCCCCTTGGGGACTGCACATTCCTCCCCTCTTGGATCCCTGCCTGTCTCTTCAAACAGATCAGGCACTAGTCTGCCTCAGGGCCTTTGCACCTGCTCTTCCTTCTGCCTGGACTGCCCCTTCCCTCCCCAGATCTTCAAAAGCCCATGCCTTCCTGCCACTCTCAACTCAAGGCCACCCCCCTCAGATGCACCTGCCTTTCTTTCTTTTTAAAAACAGTTTCATTGAGATATAATTCACATTCCATAAAATCCACCCATTTAAACTGTACAACTTAGTGATTTCAGTATATTCACAGAGTTGTGCAAACGGCACCAGCATCTAGGTTTAGAACATTTTCATCATACCAAAAAGAAACCCTGCACCCACTAACCAGTCCCTCCCATTCCCCCTGCCCCTGTCCCCTGGAAACCACCTATTACTTCTGGACTCTATGGACTTACCTACTGTGGACATTCACATGCATGGAACCACACACTCTGTGGCTTTTTATGGCTGGTGTATTTCACTTAGCATAATGTTGCTAAGGTTTATCACATTGTAGCACATATCAGCACTCCATTCCTTTTCGTGGCTGCATGGGATTCCACTGCATGGGTGTGCCACATTTAGCTCATCCATTCAGGAGAGGCCTTTCTTGATCACCCCAGGTCAAGTGGCCCCCTCTGCCCCATGGCTCTAACAGCCCTTCCAGTGTTATCCCTCTGCCTTTAATGCTTGCCTGAAGACATCTTCATCTATTCATTTCACTACTGTTTCTCTCCTGCCCGAATGTCAGCTCCATGTGGCCCGGGCCATCGTCGTACCCACTGCCATATCCCCAGGGTCCAGCAGGTGCTCAGCAAACATTAGTTGACTGACTGAACAAAGCCCTTTCCACTGTGTGCGGGTGTTGCTATGCCATGCAATCTCCCTGCTGGGCTCTGCGTTCTAGGACAACAAGCGCTGCCCTCACCAGGAAGGGCCTCCCCAGTGACCCCAGCATGGAAGGCAGGAACTCCAGGCCCTGGAGCCTCAGGTTCCTCCTCCATCCTTCCCAGAGTGGATGTTAGCTGGTTGGGGCTGCCAGACACAGGGTAGGTCTTCAGCCCTTCGCCAAAGCTTGATGGGAGGCGGGCAGTACGGCAGCATGGGGAGCTACAAGGAGGGGAGGGCAAGCCTGCAGGGTCAAGGCCGGGTGAGCCCCTCATAGGAAGGGTAAGGCAGCCTCTGGAAGAATCCATGCGCCCAGAGCGGTATGGAGGTGAGGAGGGGCCTGAAGACCCCATCCTCACTCTCAGGGAGTCCTGGCTACTGAAGGCTGTCACAGGACAGGAGAGCAGATGGGCTGGGGCCCAGGGTGCAGGGCCAGGCCCTGCAGTGTGTGTGTGTTGCTGTGAGGGGTGCGAGGGGTCAGGCAAAGGCATCATTGCAAGAGAGGTGTCAGCTCCAGTGGGAAAGAACCTCCCTGCATTGGAGCTGCCCAGGCATGACCCAGGCTGGGAGGCTGTGAGCATGCTGTCCCGGTGGTGTGTGCACAGGGCCCCCTGCTGAGGAGCCTCAGCTGGCTAATTGTCAGGGAAGCTCCCTGGAAGCTCCAGGAGCCTGGCAGCCAGCTGCTCCCCTGCCTCCTCCCCAGATGCACCACAGTCGGGGAGGGGCAGGGAGGGGGCTGTGTGCTCAGCAGAGCCCCCACCCCATGCTCACCCTTCAGCCTCTGCCCACGGGGGAGCTCCAACATCCCATTAGCCCTCAAGGCACAAAACGGTGTTCTGTTCCCAGAATAACACCAGATGCAAAAGTGATTTTCCAGCCTGGCCCCAGAGGCTAAGGATTACCAGCACCACGGTCTAAGGCCTGTGACAGATGGACTTGGAGGTGTGAGGTCTGTGACAGGGCCACCACACTGCAGCTGACCCACCCAGGCAGGCCCACAGGCATCGACTCATCTAGTCTCAGAACAACCCTAAAAGTCACTTAGGCAGTTGAAAGGAGCTGAGCCGGGTTTTGAACGCAGGTCTGCCTGACTACGAAGCCTGGGGTCTCCCCACTACATCACTGTGTGTCCCCACACGGACACTTCGAGGGAAATGGATGCGCTGTGCTGGGTGCAGAGCCAGCAGGGCCCACTCAGGATCGTCCCAAGAGGCCTGCCCAGCTCGCCCTGCTCTCCTTACTTCACTGTGGGGGTCAGGCTGAGGGGGGCTAGCAACCGCCTTGGACTGCACATTGTACAACCTGCCTCTGCAGCTTGGACCCCAGTTCCTAGGTGTCCCATCCAGGAGGTGGCCCAGAGCCAGAGGGAACCCTCCGAGAGACCGCAGTCCAGAGTCCCAGAGACCTTGTCCCGGCTTCTCGGCAGCAGTGCTGAGCCCCTGGGCAGAAGCCAGGGCTGGCCGGTCGGCAGCCTGCTCCCCACACACACCTCACGCTTTTCCAGATGTGAGCAGGACCCAGCCAGGGGCAACAGGCTCACACGGAGGGGAATCTGAAGACGCAAGTGGAAAACTATGTGTTGTCCGATTGCAACCCTCCAATTTGCCCCTGTGGCTGCCACCAGCCCCGCCTTGGGCCACAGACTGGCTGACTCAGGACGCCCTGGCTGCTGAGGGGGCTGGGATCCTGCCGAGGGCCTGCTTTGTCTGTCTGTCTGACTTCGGGAGTAGCCTCTGCCCTCCAGGGGACCCCACAACAAAATGGGGTGGGGGTCTAGGAACACAGAATGTCTCCTAGAGGCCCCCCAGGCTCATCCCCCCCAGCTAACCACAGAGATGCCTTTTACTTATGGGTGCTAAGTTGGGGGTGTGAGACACACCCAGCGCTAATTATGGCACCCACACCCACCCCAAGCTGTCATTGAGGGAGGTGGCCACCCAACCAGTGCTCACAGGCTCACAGCAGCCCTGCGCTGCAGGCCTGCTCACTGCCATTGTCCAGCTACCAGGGGCCACAAACTCTCTGAGCATTTGCCACGAACCACACGAGGCTCTACACTACAGCCCTGTCAGGTAATTATTCCCACTCTGTAGGTGAGGAAACTGAGGCACAGGGAGGCCAGGCTACTACTCATTAGAGGGATGAGTGCCTGGCAGAGCCTGGTGGGGCCTCCCAGTGCTGGGCCCACAGCCTCCTGTAAACAACCCCTGAGGTTTCCAGAGAGCCAATCCCCGGAAACCGCGGAGGGAACAAGACGCAGGAAAATCCAACTGTGGTTAGAGGAAAAAAGCATGTGGGGCACCTTGCCACAGCCCAGGGACTTGCCCTCTGCCTGGCCCGGCCTCCAAGGTACCTTCCAGGAGGTCTATCTGAGGGCCTAAAGAAGGACAGGCGGGCACTGACTCACTCCGGGGGTGAGCTTTCCTCTCTCCATTCCCACAGCCAGAAGGCATCGCCATACAAAGAATGTCTCAGCCCTCATTGTCCTGTTCCCCTTAAGCCAGACCCTAGGCTTGTCCCTGTAATGCCTCCCACCCTCACCCACCATCCATCCAGGCTGAGGTACAAGGTCCCAGACATTCCTACCCAGCAACAAACACAACTGTGGCCATTGTAATGATGGTTTCTCATCACAGTGTGTGCTGGATGGATGGCTTTCCCCTTTCTCTTTGGCTACCAGGAAGCTTGGCAATTTTTACCTCAATAGAAGGACCAAAGGACCCTGTATATCTGTCTTCCTATCTATATTTTTCCCCCTAGGTCCTATTCTAAGCTGTGCTTTTCCTGGTCCTGACATTTTATTATTTAATTCATTGTAGGTATTTCCTATAAGCAGTCACAAATGTTTTGGAAACGGAAGAAGAAAAGAAGGAAAAGTTTATATAGTTTATCTACCAGATTATGAGGGTGGGAAAACAGAGGGAGAATCTTCCAACCCTTACTTTTGGTAAAAGCTCCCCTTGAAATAAAAAATACGTCCTTAGGTGGTGTCCTTATAGATGTCTTTCAAATAGGTGGCCACCTCTAAGTCCCTCCCATAAAAATTCTGGCCCCACCGAATCTCCCTTTACAGAGAAGAGTCGGAGACCCAGTCTTGCCTGCAATCACACAGGATCAGCTTCCTGCTCCTTGGTCTGGACCCTTTCAGCAGCTGGAAGGCTGGCACCAACCTTGGGGGAGTAGCCCTGTCCCCAGGGGGTAAAAGGCTCTGCTCCCTCCCTTGCCCTCACCTGCACAAGGGGGTCCAATCTGGGCGCATCCCCATGTGACTGGCTGAGAGGGAAGTACAATGACATCAATGGGAATCATATGTAATGCTAACGGAATGCTGGCAGCGCGCCCCGGGCCCTGATCTTTGTGTATCACCTCAGTTAATCCTCATACTAATCCTGTAAGGATCTGCAGGTGGGAAACTTCAGCCAGACAGGTGAAGCCATGTCACAGCACTGATAATGCCAAAGCCAGTTTCGAACTGGGGCCCGAATCTGGGCTGCGTTCCCAGCCCTGGCTGACACCACTGATGTCATGGCCCTCTGCAGCATGAACCCCATTTCACTGACGGCCACAGGCTCACAGAGGCCAAGGCCATCAGCCAGCATGTTATGTGACAAGTGCTAGCTCCTTTGTGCCTAGGGAGCCTGCCGGCCTCACTGTATCTGATGCTGGCATCTTCCAGGTCCCAGCCAAATGCCTGCACACTCCCTGACCGTGGTTCACTTGCCTCCCTCCCTCCCTGCCGGAGACTCTGAGCTTGTCTAGAGAATAGCAGACAGGCCTTCTTGCCCTGCATCCCTGCTGCCCCCAGCCTGGGGCTGCCCTGGACCTCACGGAACCAATGCACACAGGCCAGCCTGGTGCCCACTTGCCTGCACCCACCAGGCCGTGGCCAGACAGAGCTGCCTCGCCCACACACATACCCCCTGGTACCTGAGGGTCCTCACGGAGATGCAGTACTTCCACATAAGGCTCCACACGGCGCTGCCACCACCCTTCATGCCTGGCTAGGTGGGGGACCCACCGCCACTGCCCTCTGACCCTGGTCTCCTCCTGGCCAGGGGTTGACTCTCTTTGCTGGTTCTCAGGTCACTTCCTTTTTCATGGTGGAAAAAAAGAAAGAAAAGGCCCAAAAGCCAGGGGAAAGGAGGAGGTGCTGGCTCCCAAGGGCCACTGTAGGTCCTACCCGTCTGGCTGCTCCAGACCCTCCTGGCTGAATGGCCCTCGCACACCAGACCCTGTGGCCTCTGCACAGCCTTGCGCCTGCCTCCTGCCAGGAGACAGTGGTGGCTGTGGGCCAGGGGAACAGTGAGTCACTGGGGTGGGACGAGCAAGGGGCGTCTGCCCGGCGAGGGAACGTGCTCAGCTGCCTGGAGCCCAGGGGCCTGTCCTGTGTCCAGAGGCTGGCCTGGGACAGGAGAGGCTGGGCCTGCAAGGGAGGGAGGGAGGTGGGCGGGCCCACATCCTCCTCATCTCCCCAGAGGCCTAAACCCAACACCACTGCCCACAGCCCCGGCCCACGGAAGCCCTGGCCGGCAGGGAGAGGAGGCTGCTCTGCCTGCTGGGCTCTGGGAGGAAGCTCTGGTGGACAGAGAACAAAAGAAGACCATCTGGCTGCTTCCTGGGAGAGTGGCTGGCCCCGGTGGTCCCCCTCTGCTGGGAGAGACAAAGCAGCCTGGCCCAGCCACTTCCCACTGTGTGATGGACGGTGCCAGGTGTGGCTGGCATCTCTGGCCTTCATTTCCCCTGACCAGCTGGGGCTCACGGGCCCCAGGGCCCTGAACTAAGATCTCCACAGACCCAGAACTAATGCATTCAGTTCTCCCAATGGCCTTCCAGAGTGGATTTTATTATCATCTCCATTTTATATGTGAGGAAACTGAGGCATTGGGGTTGGGGGGTGTCACTTAACCCTGTCACACACCTGGGAAGGGGAGCAGATAGGATTTGAACCATGGCCGCCTGGCTCCAGGGGCCTACAGTGGTGTAATGAGAGCATTCTAGCTCCTTGGGCAGAGATTGGGGTGGAGGGTGGGGGCTGAAGGGCAGGGACCCTCTGAACAGCTGTGGGGTCTGGGCCTAAGCTGGGTCTGGGGTGTTTCCAGGCTAGGGACCCAGCTGGAGCCCCCACCCCTGCCCCCCAACAGCTGCTCCCAAGCCCAGCCCAGAGCAGGCAGCTGGGGCTTCCCAGCAAAGCCCCTGGGACAATGACTCACGGCTCAGGGTCAGTGCTCACAGAACCTACTTCTCTCCACCCACAGCCCCCATGAAGTCCCCCCGAAGCAGATGGGCCCAGATCCTGGCCCCCTGCAAGGCTCTGGACACCACACATCGCTGCCAGCGCCATCACATCGAGTGGCCACAAGGCCACCATTGCACCCATGAGGAATCTGAGGCCTGGGGAGGGGCGCCACCTGCCCACCGACAGTGGGGTGGAGCTGGACCCCAGCCCGGGTCTCCAGGTCAAAGCCTGGCTCTGCCCCTGGGCCCCCTGCCCTGGCCTGTGCAGGATGGCAACTCTCTCTCGGATTCCAGCCCGATTACCACAGTGCGGATCAGCAGCTGCAAGCCTGTCCACCCCCCTGAGCTGGGGGAGAACTTTATCTGAAAGCAAGGTGAGTTTCTGCAAAGGCTGTGGTATCCTTGGGGGCCTCGGGAACCCATATTCTTCCCTTGTGACTAGCAGCCCCCACAGTGGGCCTCTACCTGCTGCAGGAACTCCTCCACAGCAGCCCTGGGGAGGAGGCTGCTCAGCCTCAGCCCAAACACCCTCACTGATGGGAAGCTCACTACCTCTCAAGGCTGCCCATTCCATCGCGGGCCTCCACTGACTTCAGGAAACCCTCTCTTGGACAGAGGCTCCTGGGGGCTTTTTACACTGGCCTCACTTCCTTGTGCCACAATGAGTGAGACCTCCATTCAGGAACTTATCTGGTCTGTCCTCCTACCAGTGCAAGTTTTCCCAATGTCTACTGTGGGTAGAGACAGCCTCTGTTTACACGTCTCCATACACCCACCCCAATATTCACACGGCTATCTGCAGCCCGCCTCACCAGCTAACCATCCCCAAGATCACTCACCCATCCGCACGCCCATTCACATCTCCCTTCCTTCTTTCCTACCCCCTTCCCCACCTTCCAGTCATCCACCAATTTATATCCTCCTCTTCCTCCAACTGTACCCCCATCCACCCTCCACAACCCCCACCCATCCCCACACCCATCCCCACCCATCTCCCATCCACCCACCCGTCCCTCCCTCCCCTCTGGTCTGGGCTGGCCCCTAGTCCCCACAGGGTAAAGAACTATAACAGGTGGTCTTCGCAAAGCGTCTTCCAGAACCCTCCCGCAGCCTCCATGAGCCCTGTGCCTCTCACCTGGTCCCCCAGGATTCCACACCCAGCCTGTCACATCCCGGGCAAATGTGAGCCTTCCCTCTCTCTCTGCCTCATTCCCTCCTGGTGCCTGCTAGCCTCTGATTTCCCTCATCTCCTGGACCCTACAGCCCCAGGTCCTGGGGCAGACCCCCTGGGCCTGGACTCGGCAACAGGGACACTGCACCCAGATGGGAGGAGTATTTGTCACACACACCTTCCATGCCTGCCTGCTGCCAGACACCAGTCATGGCAGGTGCCTGGTGGAGAGGGGCAAGGGGCACATTGGACCCTGGAGGAGATCCCAGAGAGGGGTGTCATTTTCAGGACCAGAGGCTAAGATCCTTGTGAGGTCCCCTTCCAGGTCCCTGTTCTCTTGTCCCAAAGTCTCTGGAGGGCCTGGGCCTCACGGACCCGTTCTTCCTCCAGGCGGCGGCCACCTGTATCCGCCTCCTCTCCCACAGCATCGCATTAGCGCTTCCCTCCCCCACATTACAGAGGCAGAAACCAAAGCTCAGGGTGGGTGAGGCTTTCCCAGCTCCCAGGGCTCCACTTCCTCCTCACAGGGCCACTGCTTTGGCTTGGATGGGCCTAGGAGACTACCTGGGGGTTTAGGAAAGCCTGGAGGTGAGTCTGAGGGCACAGAGAGCTCAGCATCCCTGCCCAGCAGAGGCCATGCGCCATCTCCTATGCTGTCACAGGGTGGCCCTTGAAGATCTGCTTTTTGAAGGCCCTGGCAGTCCGCAGTCCACAGCTAGCCCTCTGGGTCATGAGCTGCTCACGGCCCCCTGCACTCACCACATGCTGTCTCAGGGTGCTGATGGCAGTAGAGGCTGTACACAGCGCGGTGGCCTGGGGCATGTTGGGGCTCCCCACCCTTTCCACAACTGCTCTCTTCATGTCCACTCAACCTCCATCAGCCCTGATGGGTTCATGTCCACACTACCCCCATCTTATGGATGAAGGAACTGAGGCCCAAGCGCTCTGTGGGTTCCTGAATGCTGGCTTAGCACATTCCGTCTTCAACACCAACAGTAGCTTGTCCTTGAGAATGGGGGCAGACGTCTTACTCATCTCTGACACCCTTTTCCCTATGTGAGTCATCCTGCCTCAGTTTGTTCCTCTGCAAAATGGGAGTTCAGCATCCGTAGTCTCCTAGCTGGGGTGAGTACTAAGTGTCTCCAGGCCCACAGCGCTGTGTGCCCCTGTGTTCGAGACTTAAACTTTCAGATCATCTTCTGTAGGACAGCAGGGCTAATATCAGCTGTCATTTCCAAAGCCCCTGGCCCTGCCGGGCTGTGTCAAGTGTGCAGTGATGCCTGTCCCTCCTTCTGCTCCTGTGGGTTGCAGGGGACCACAGCAGGCAGGTCTGCATGGACATGCTCACACCGCCAGCCGGCCGCTCCCTCTCCCCAGCCACGCAGCCAAGCCCCGCGCAGAGCTGGCCGGCCCTCCACCTCAGCATTCTGACTCACATGCCCCCTGGGGATGAAGTCACTGCCGCCCAGGTGAAGAAAAGGATACGTTTGTTCCCTGGGAGACGCTGATGCCATGGTGAACTTGGCCTTCAAGGGCAGGACACAGCTCTGGGCTTGTGCTCACAGGCTGTAGGCAGCTGCCTCAGTGAGGGCACCGGTGAGGGGTCAGTGAGGACCCTGTCCGGAGGATCGAGGACTGGGATGGTACCCTTCCCTGGAGGCCAGGTGAGAGGGTTTATGGCCTCTATCTGGCCGTCAGACCTAGCTGGGTTTGGCCCCTCTACTTGCCTGGAGAGGACTCTCTGAGGTCTGAGGGCTCCAAAACCCCAAACTTCTGCCTCTGACTTAAGGGGCAAGCTACAGTTCCATGGATGTCTGCCTCCTTCACATATGGGCACACTCCACTCTACAAGCTGGCGAGCTGGAGGCGATGGTGGGCTTCAAGAGCCAGACCCCAACTCCTCCTGCTTTCTGGGTCTCTGTGTGGGCTCTCCATCCCTGCCTTCAGCCTCTTTCCCTGGTGACCCTCCCCATGGCTGCCTGTCACCTATAGGAGAAAGGCCAAACCCCAGCCAGGCAGGCAAGACCCTCTGTCCCCTGCCATCCACTCTGAGCTTCCAGATATCAAGCAGTGCCTGAGCCTCAAGGCCTACCCACCCTGGGCAGGAATTCTGCACAACTGGGCCAGCTATTCTCCACATGCCCTGGAGATTGATTGTCTACTCTGCTCAGGGCCCAGGGACTGAATACCAGGCTACTGTGCTCGGTTGGGTGTGCGCAGTGGGAGGCCCAGGCAGGAGTGGGAGGCTTGTGGGGTGGGATGGGCAGGAAGGATATTCACTGCCCCCTGCAGCCAAAGTGTCTGGCAGGTGGCCTTGGCACATGGCTCTCTCTCTGGGGGTTCATGTAAATGCTTCCTCCCCACCCTCAGGTGCAGGGCTAGTAAGTCCTCCCCACTGTTGCCGGCCTACTGTGTGGAACCAGGTGCCATACCTTCCCCCACCATCTCCCTTAACCCCACACCACCCCTGCATGCAGCCCCATCAGGGTTCACACCACACTGTGGACCCTGCTAGTGAGTCATCTGCTTCCTGCAGGACCCAGTTGCTACTCTTCAAGGTCACGCCTCTAGGAAGCCAATTATTTGTTTGTTCCTCCATTCACTCAACATGTGTTAATGTCCTTACTCTGTGAAGATGGGCACTGCTACTTGGTGAGGAAGACCACAGAGCCTTGTAGGGCTGACATTCTGCAGGAGGAATAACCAGCACCACGTAAGCAAATAAGTATAACTTCTGGCAGTGGTCTGTGCCATGCGCAAGCTGAATAAAGCATAGAATTTCACTTGGTGACAAGCTTCCCTGGTCCTCTCCTCTCCTGTGCCTGGTCCTCTCCATTCCCTGGGCTTCCGTGGGTATCACGTGTGTCTGTGGCCCGTACCTCAGTGCTCTGAGAGCCTGTGGGAAGTGAGGGAGTAGCCTCTGCACGCTCCCCGATAACCCTAAGTAGCAGCGGTCACGAACATGTCCCAATTTTACACATTAACAAACCGAGGTTCAGACACCTTCCCCAGGATTATACTTAAACCCAGCTCTGCCTGCCTGATTCCAAACCCAGAGCTCTTTCTCCTGTTTCAGGCAGAAAGCAAAATGAATCACCCATCACTTAAATGTGTATTCTTCCAGAGTAGGGCCAGGCACAAGGCAGGCACTTGACACATGCCCAGATGGCTGAATGTCAAAACCCTTATTTTTGCTGCTGCTTAAGCAGCATTTGCACTGTGGGCTGGGACGTCCCTATTTTCCAGGTGGGAAAACGGAGGCCTGTGGTGGCTAAGAGCACTGGGTCCCACGGGACCACGGGTGGGCTCCCAGCCTCCCAGGTTGCTGGCCAACCTGAGTTCTGCCATCTTGTCTCAGGCCTAGGAGGCCACTAACAGCTCAGGGGGCAGGCAGGGCTGGCCACTGACTCAGGCTGGGTGCTGGGGAAGAAGCCAGGGAGAGCTTTGCCACGTCCATCTTAGGGAGCACGAGGGACAGAGTCCAAGGCCCCAGCTGGGTGCCCAGGCCTGCTCTGACTGCTCTGCAGAGAGGAGACTGTTGGGGAAAGAACAGAAGCTAGGGCTGGGGAGCAGCTGATGCCTGGGCTCGGGAGGTGGCCCAAGACATGAGGATAAGTGACTGGATTCTAGAAACACTCTTAAAGCACAGCCAGTAGGGATTTCTGATAGATAAGGTGAGGGTGTGAGAAAGAAAGAGCAGCTGACACCTGGGCTTCTGGCCTGAGCAGCTAGGAGGATGGAGGCTTCCGTGATTATAAAGGGGACACCGGAACAGCGAGTGGGGAGCAGGTGGGGTGGGGTGGGACAGAACACTGGGAAGGAATTTGCTCTGTGGAAACGAGAGCTCTTGTTTTCCAGGAGTCAGAAATCCAGATTTTTGCATATAAGCTCTTGAATTTTATATGCTTGCAAGAAACTCAAATTTAAAATATGTGGGCTAATCCCATGCAGGCAAAATAAAGTCCATCTGTAGGTGTCTGGCCTACAGGCCTCCTCTTATACCCTTTGTTCCTTCTCGATTGTTAAGACTCACTGAGCTGCCACTTCCTCCAGGAAGCTGCCCAGGATTGGTTTAGCTCCAGAGATGTTTGTGGCTCCTCACAGCCCCCTTGTGGGACTAAAAAAAAAAACAGACTAGCAGTGGCTTGCAGGTGGATATGAGGTTTGCTCATCAGTTTCTCATACTCCCAATGAACAATCTGGCCCAGAGGAGTTCATGGATGATTATCTGCTGGATGGATGAACAGCTCTCTCACTTAATCCCTCTGCCTTTCATTTTGCAAATGAGGAAACTGAGGCCCAGATTAGGGATGTGACCTGCCCAGGGCAGCATCTAGGGCCAGAGCCTGCTCACTGTCCAACCTCTGTTTGTCAGCTGCCCCTGAGACCGGGCGGGCAGGGCAGGAAGTATGTAGACAATTGTACAATCTTATCACGTTTTGTCACTGCAGGGAAAAACAGGATCTGGAGCAGCTCCCAATCATCCAGGGGGAGTCTGTTCTGGGGCTCTCTCTCCAGGAGCCTGCCATGGTGGCTGCCACCTAGGATCCAGGCAGAGCCAGACCCTCAGACTGAGCACCTCTGTAGGTGGCCTGGCTGTGGGACAGATGGAGTCCCAAGGGGAAGGGCCTGACATCAGCAATTGGCCAAAGTGACAGCCAGCCCTCCCGGGTTCTCCCTTCTGAGAGTTCTGACCCAGTCCCGTTCAGGCCTGCAGAGGGCAGAGAGTACAAGGGCCCTGTGGGGTGTTTGCTCAGATAGGCCGTGTCGGGGAAGCACTGTTAGCAGTGGAGGCCGCAGCCCCATTCCCCAGTGCTGGAGGTGGAGAGATGAGTCTCTGAGCTGTCAGGTGACTTATCTCAAGTCACACAGCCAGGGAGAAGTCGATCTGGGACTCCTCACTCTAAGACCTGACCCTTTTCCATGCTGCTGTGCTGCACCGGCCATGGGGCCTTTCCAAGCCATCCTCTCACCTCCTCCCCAGTGAAATGAGGAAAGAAACAGGACGGGCCTTCAGGGGCCTTCGTGAAGATCCAACACATGGAAGGTGCCAGCACTGTGTGAACGTGCTTTGTGAAGCTACGTGAAAGGCTGTGTGTATAAAGCGATGCTCTTCTTAGCCTCTAGTCTCTAAATTTTCTGGGTGTGGCAATCTTTGAAATTCCCAGGGTGACACTTAGCTATCATCCAATAATAATAATAATAATAATACTCATGGTTACTGAGTGCCTACTGCAGCCAGGGCCCTACATGGGCCTGACTCATTGAATCCTTAAGCCCACCCTATGAGGTATTAGTACCTCATGTATAGGGCGGGGAAACTAAGGCACAGAGAGGTTTACAAACATGCCCAGTGTTATGCAAATGGAAGGGGTAGAGTTAGGATTTGAACCCTGGCAATTCTGCCCCAAACACACTATGCAACACGACTTTCCTAGTCTGGTATGGAAGTCCTTCTCAGTGTCTAAGCCAAATCCTTTTACTGCAGGCTGTACTCATTCCCTAGCTCCTTCCTGGGCAAAGGAGAAAAGCTGATGCTTTTGCCCCGCATCATGTGCTGAAAGGCCTGACTTCTTTGGCTCCCGGCTCCCAGCTCCCTGGTTCTGGCGTGCATGTCAGGGCAAACCAAACAGAAGCCCTCCCCTTGGCTGGCTGCACCCGCACACGCGCCTCCTGCAAAGAGAACCGGTAAGGATCACACCGTCTGGGCCATGACCTCACCTCCTCCCTGGCTTACCTGCCCCCTTTCCTTTCCACCCACTGCCTCAGGGTTGTTTCCCAAGTCTCACATCTGTCTCCATCAGTCCCCTGCCTGAATCTTCTCCACTGCTTTCCTCCATTCACACAAGTTCCCAGCTATATCCTCATGCAGCCAGTCTGTTATGATGCAGACTCTCTCTGTGGGCATTCTAGTATTTAATTATTATTAAAAACATTAACTATTTAATGTTCTCCTTTTAAAGCAACTGGCTTAAAATTTTAGACCCAAGGCTGATGAAGCTTTTTGATCGAACTCCCAGTTACTAGGAACTATGGGTGACAGAGGAACAGGTTCAGTGACAACATGGGGGGAGGCGATCAGCTAAAAACTGCATGCGGAATGTGCTAAGGGTAAATGGGCCAGTTCCTTCCACCAATAAGTTTCAAGGAGGAAAAAGAAATGGGAACTTCCAGATAAAAGGAGACTTAAGGGATGCCTGCAGTGCCTGGCTCTTGTGAGGATCCTGATTTGAACAAATCAGCTGCAAAAAGACATTTTTGGAGATCATTTGGAAAACCTGAACCTGAAATAGAGCGTGGAGTTGGTGGAAGGAAGACAAAATACACAAGGCAAAACCATGACACCTGGGTGCAGGGAGGACCCGGAGGAGTCCTTCTGTGCTTCCAACTATGTTTCCACTTTGCACCAATAAAAAGCTGAAAACAATGCAGAAAACAGCAAATTAACTGGTGGTGCACCCCTGAATGCATTCATTTTGAAAGGAAACTTTATATCACTCCCCCAAATGGAAAACTAGTATCACTTGCTGTAAGTAGAAGGTTACCATGAAAACAAGACAATGTTATTCCATTTCAGGCAGATACTGTTTCCTGCCGAAGGTGCTGCTCTTCAAACCTGCCTTGTCTTTGTTAAGCAGCTGGGAGGGGCGTGAACCCACTCCCTCCATGGCCCACCTGTACGGGAACACTGGCCTACAGGCAAGGTCCACCAAATATATTTCCTCATCTTCTGCTTCTCCTCCCTCAAGGAGGGACCAGTGAGAAGCTTGAGTTGGGGTGGGGTGGGGTGTAGATCCATCCCGGCTGGTAGTTCCTGCAGCAGGGGGCGTCTCAGCTGGGGAGCTCTGAGCCTCTACAGAAGCTTGGGGCTTCCTGCATCACAGAATCCAACACTTTGGAGTTGGGGACCAGATGGTGAAACTGTCTAGAGTCGGGTGGGGTGCTGCCCAAGGCCACATGGCCAGCTTGTGTGGGAAAACCAGGAAAGGACAAGACTCCAGGTTTTCTGACCTTCAGTCCTACGATCAACTAACCTTTCCCTTGGTCGCAGATATTTGTTGGGTACCTACTGTATGCCAGGCACAGAGGGTGCACAAGACAGAGTTCCACAGAGCTGACATTTGGAGGCAGGGGATCAAGAAGACGAATGCCGAGCAAGCTGATGAGATACTATCCTATGTTGATGAGGGCGATAAAGGGACAGGAAAGGTGATAACTAGAGGAGGGTGATGCTATGCCAGCCAAGGTGATGAGGGAGGACCTCTCTGAGGAGGCAACATTTGAGCTTAGACCTGAGGGATGAAGGAGGAGGAAGAAGGGGGAAGTCTGGGGACAGAGGGCTCCAGGAGAAGCTAGTGCATGAGCATGTCCAGCCAGCTCTCAGCTACTCCTGACTTAAAATTTTTTTGTATTTTGAGTTAACGTCAGACTTACAGAAAAGTTGCAGGAAGAGTACAAAGGACTCTGTGTATCTTCACCCAGATTCCCCACATGTTACAATGCATCCCATTTGCCTTCCTCTCTCTCTCTAACACACATACATACACACACTCGTTTTTCCCCAGAATTGCTTGACAGCAAGTTGCCCACCTCAGGTCCCTGCTACTTCACCAAGTGTCTTTCCTACGACAAGCACATTCTCTGACAGAATCACAGTCCAGTTTTCAAAGTCGGGACATTAACACTGATTCAATACTACTATCTAATCCTCGGATCTCATTCAGAGTTGCCAACTGACCTGACCTGTCCTCTACAGAGAAATGCTCCCTGCTTCTTAGGCTTCCCTTACGAATATCCAGAGGGAATGCGTTCAGAGGATGGCCTTCCAAGGACCCAGCCTGACTGGGGGCGGACGGTGCTGTACGGGGGTAGCCAGCTCAGCGCTGTATCAGGGCCTGATGCGGAAGGAATGATGTGCATGACTATAGACACTTCTTCACAAAATAGCTGCCTGTGTTTTGAACTAAGTGAGAAAGTTAAAGCCTTAAAGTTAAAAAAAAAAGATTATTTATGCAGCCTTACATTTCCCTATCTATTCACACATCACTGCCCACCCTCATTAACTCCGTAAGCCCACCCTGTGGAGCACATTGAGCTGCAGGGCCTGGAAACTGAAGCACTCCCCACCCCCAGCCCCCCGCCCCCGCCATAGAAATGACTGTTCCCATTGCACAATAATGCAAAGTTGTAAAATAAATAACAGCAGCCTGTCTTTATGCAGAATTATGACATTTTGTTTTCTTCATTACTGAATTTTCACGGCTCGCTGAAATGCTGCTTCCAAGGTGAACACCTCCCTTGCCCCACACTCATCCCAGCCTGACCACCACACACCAGACACGTGGGCTCTGCTGCGTATAGAGTAGCTGTGCGCATACTTTGGGCTTAACAATCTCATGATAAGCCTGAAATTGGGCCCTGGCACCCAACTTCACAGATGGAGAGAGAGAGATCCTAGAGTGCTGTGCTGGGGACTGCCATAACAAACTAGCACAAACTAGGGGACTCACAGCACTTCTGGGGATTAAAAGTCCAAGGTCAAGGCATCTGCAGGGTTGATGTCTCCTGAGGCCTCTCTCCTTGGCTTGTAGAGGGTAGCCGTCTTACTGTGTCCTCACACGGTATATTAGTCAGGGTTCTCCAGAGAAAGAGAACCAATAGGATGTATGTGTAGGTATGTACACACACACACACACTGAAACATGTATGTATATTTTATTTGTCACAGGCATTGGCCCACACAACTAAAGAGGCTGACATGTCCCAGGACCTGCAGGTGGCCAGCTAGAGACCCAGGAAAGCTGGTGGTGTGGTTCCAAACCAAATGCCAGGAGGCTTCAGATCCAGGAGGAAGCAATGCTTCAGTCTAAGTCTGGAGGCAGGAGAAAAACTGATGTCCAGCTCAAGGGCAGCCAGACAGGTGCATTCCTGCTTACTCAGCCTTTCTACTCTATCCAGACCTTCAACTGATTGCACGAGGCCCACCCACACTGGGGAGGGCAATCTGCTCTGCTCAGTCTACTGATTCAAATGTCAGTCCTCCAGAAAACCCCTCACAGACACACCCAGAATAAAGGCTAGTTAAAATTTTAGGTGCTGTGTGGCCCAGTCAAGGTGGCACATAAAGGTAATCATCAGACATGGTCTTCCCTCTGTATCTGCGCCCTAATCTCTTCTTATAAGGACACCAGTCATATTGGAGTAGAGCCACCTTAATGACCTCATTTGAACTTCATTACCTCTTTAAAGACCCTACCTCTAAGTACAGTCCTATTCTAAGGTATTGGGGGTTAGGACTTATGAATTCTAGCGGGTACATAACAGGCTCTGACAGGACACAGAGTTTGGCTCATAGGCATTTGGACCCAGCTCTTTCCTCTGCTGAGTGTGCCTGGGCATCTGGAGCCCCTCGGTTGGCTTGCCCCTTCCCTGGCAGGCTGATTCATCCATCCTGTGGTTGCCAAAACGTGGAGGAGGTGCAGACAGTCACTTAGTGTGGACTGAGCTCACGTGCAAAGTCCAGCAATCACTGCCGGCCAATGTGCTCACCATGGAAGGCCAGTAAGGTCTAGTCCCAGCAAGGTGGTTCCCTGAATAAAATCTCAATGATCTCAATATCCATCTCCCCACTCCCTGGCTACCAGGGGATCTTGCTAAGACACAGGGGGCTGCCAGGGGAGGTCAGACATGAAGGACTGGAGCCCTGGAGCCCACCTGCACCTGGAGTGCCTGCTTTAAATGCCCTCTAGATGTGCCTGGCCAGGGCAGGGCAGGCAGATGGAGGCAGGCAGCCTGGTCCCACTATAGGTCAGTTCTTCTCTCTAAACTTGGGCTGGGTTTGGCTCTGGCTGCTTCATTCTTAAACCTTGCCTAATTATTCTGCTGAAGACGAGCTCCTGGAGGTCCCTGAGAATTTGGTCAAACTGTGCTGCCTTGCTCTGGTCCAGCAGAAGTACCTAAATGAGGAGGATATGCTTGCAGGAAGCATGGGGCATTTTGTACTGCCAGGCACACAGCCTTCCCATGTCACCTGGGAACTGGCCTCTCCCACAGAGTGCATTGCTGGTGGGGTGGAAATAAAAAGGCCTATGCCATGGGTAGAAGCAAAGGGGTCCCTGTAGGTTAGTTCCTACAGATACTTCCCCCAACCTCCCAGCACAACCAAGGGGTGGAACATAGCATGAGCTTGACCAATCAGATTCTCCCCCGAGACTTTACATCGGAGTGGAGGCAGGTGGCTGGGGACTCCCTGAATGCACACAGCCAGGAGCCTGCACCTGGGGCTGTGGGATTACGGCTCTGGGACTTCAGCTTCCTGCTGATCCTCTGAACTCCCAAGGGGCTTGTAACCTCTCTTTTGCTCCAGCTGGCAATGCATGATTTCTGTTGCTTGCCACCAAAGACTGTCGGATCCAGTGTTCACCTGCTGCCATCGGTGTCTTTTCTGCCAAGGGTGATTGTCTGCACCTCTTATGTCAATGGGAAAATCCTCCTCTTCCATCAAGATCCATCTCAATTCTACAAGAACCCTTTATGACTTTCCCAGTTAAAATGATTGCTCCCTGTCTTGAATAATAACTATACTTTCTTTGAACTTAACTTCGTTAAAAAAAATAATACCCAGCATTTACTGAGTGCCGACTGTGTCCCAGGTGGCCTCTTGCCTGTTAGGCACTCTTCCTGAGCCCATTTCAGCTCAGGACATGAGCGTCAGGGTGGAGAGATGATCTGGATGGTCCCTGTGGCAGGCGGTCCCAGACGACTCCCCATGGGCCTGGGAAGGACTCTGTGATGACCCAGTGAATAGAAGGCAATGGAAATGGTGCTGTGTGACTTCAGAGGCCTGTCAGGAAAGGTCACGCCTTCTCCTCAGCTCTGTCTCTAGGAATGCAACTCTGAGAACCCAGCTGCCATGTTGGGAGGGTGCCCAGGCCACATGAGAGGCCCCGGGTAGGTGTTTCAGCTGAGAGCCAGCAGCAACCTCAAGTCGAGGGGATGGGTGAGTGTGTGGGTAGGGGAGGCTTCTGAGGAATGCAGCCCCTAACCTTTAAGTAGATGCAAGTAAAGCAGGCCCCACCCAAATTACAGACCCCTGGGAAAACCCAGTACTGTCACTGTTTTAAGCCACTAAGTTTGGGGGTAATTTATTACACAGCCACAACAAACAGAGCAGTTACACAGAGCCAGGAGGTGCTAAATATTATGAATAATAAGTGAGGCAGGTCAGCCTAGCCGTCCATCACTTGGGTTGGATCAACTACATTCTGTTACCTTAGGTAGGTCATTTGCCCTCTCTGGGCCTCTGTTTCCTCATCTGAAATGTGGGAAAATAATGATCTCTAATTCATAAGACTGTTGTGAGGATAAACAGAGATAGCACAGCAGAGCATGTAACACAGATAAACGCTCAGTGAAAGTGAGGAATAGCTAACAATTATGATCAAAGGCACCAACCAGATTGGATGCCCAGTCAGCCTGAGTTCAGAGCCTGCCCTCTGCCCTCATGTCACAAAGCCTCTGGGGTGTTTGCTGACCAGCCAAGAGCTGAGGTCTGGGATGTTGGCCTGTGTTGGGGGCAACCTGGCAACCTCTGACCTGGCCCAGAAGCCCTCCTGCCCTGGGCTGTGTGCTCGGAGCTGCCAGCCTGCCGAGTTCACTTACTGTGGATGCACTTTGGGGAGCTCACTCCAAAGTGAGCCTCTTCACACTGTGTTTTAGATACGCCTGCCACAGGGATTTCCAACAGAAGTGATCAGTGAAACCTGCCCATCAGGAAGTAAGTCAATAGGTGGTAGATCTGAGCTAGTTCAACACCTGAAACCAGACAGGCATCCACAGCGTGCTCGGAGGTGAGGCTCCGCAGTGGGGGGCAGGAGAACACGCAGAGCTACAATCACCCTTGGAAATCCCTGACTGTGGAGGACCTGGAACTGCACATATGGAGGGAACAGCACATGCGTGTCTCCCCCTCCACTTCGGGATACCTGATGCTGAGTGGAGCTACCATTTACAGCATTCTCCTCACTTTAGCTCCCTCTTTCTTTCCTTTTACATTGAAAACACTATCTGGTTCTTAATGCTGAGTGTAGGCGAGCATGTGGAGACCTGGAGGCTCCTGCAGGCTGCCGGTGAGGATGCACACCTACAAAACCACTTTCCATTTCCCACAGCCCAGTGAGGTTGAGGACACGAGTGCATCACCTGGTATAAACCCTACAGCAGTGCCACGCACATGCACAAGGAGATGTGTGCAAGAATGCCCACTGTAGTCGTGTGGGTAATATAAAAAATGCACCTAAATATGTAACAGGGGAACAGAGATTTGTATGATGGACTACTACACACCAGTGTAAACAAAGGAATGAGAACTATACCTGGCAACAGGGGGGAATCTCACCCCTAAAGTAAGAAAATAAAGTTACATCTTGAAGAGATATCCGCACACCCATGCTCACAATAGCATCATTCATAATAGCCAAGAGGTGGAAGCAACCCAAGTGTCCACTGATGGATAAATGGATAAACGAAATGTGGTCCAGCCATACAATGGAATATGATTCAGCCTTAAAAGGGAAGGAGGTTCTGACACAGGCTACAGCATGGATGAAACTTGAGGACATTCTGCTCAGTGAAATAAGCTGGCTGTAAAAGCACAAACATGGTGTAATTCCGTTTATAAGAGGGCCCCAGGGTAGTCGGATTCACAGAGACAGGAAGTGGAGTAGTAGGGGCCAGGGGAGGGGGCGGGGAGTGAGTGTTCATGTGGACAGTGTCTGGAGATGGACGGAGGGGGTGGCTGCACAGCAGTGAGAATGCACTGAATGCCCCTGAACTGCACACTCAACAATGGTTAAGATGGGCAATTTTATGTTCTATGTATTTTACCACAACTAAAGATTTGTAAAAAGCAGGTTGCAAATTATGAAATGATGTACTTGAGGTTTAAAGACGTGTAAAAAACTCTATGGTAACAAAGTTATAAAAGCGTGTATGGGAAATATGTACACGAAACCGTGGGGACTGCCTAGGCTACGTCTAGGGGAGCAGGGGTGGGATGGGACTTGAGGGAGGTCCCCAGGGCCATCCGTCTCAGCCATAATGGTTTATTTCTGAAGGCGGGCAGTGCTTATACTGTTCTCCACATTTTCTTTGCATCTGAATTACTTTATTAGCGAGAGTACCCTGGGGTCTGCCAGGTTCTGGCGACTGGGGAGAGGGTCTGTGCCCTCCCACAGGGGCCTCTGGGCCAAAGCTGAGGGGTCCGCAGGGTCACCATCAGCCCAGCGGAAGGCAGGGGTGCCCTATGAACACGTCTTCAGTTTTCTAGTTAAAATAAGCAACTCCACTCCACTCCCCCAGCCTCAGCCTCTGGCAGACCTCCAGGATTATTTTACATTAATTTAAGATCACTAATGAAGAATAATTAACAGCTTCAAGGGAGCCTGGCAGACCCTGTGTTTAGAAGTGGTTAATTATGCATTGTCTGCAAAATGCCCTTTTTATACTCTTAAGTTTTGGGGCGGCTGGTGGCTGTTTTAAATAACAGAATATGGCATCAGGCAAAAAAGCCAAGAGATTCTGTGTGCGGGGCTCCCTGGGGGAGGATCTGTCTGGGCAAGGAGAGCCACCAGTTCCGGAGCCTCTATGGAGGGTGGGGCGGCAGTACTTTCCTGGCATTGGCCCTGTCGACCCCCATGGGAGTCAGGAGAGGCAGGTGATCACCCCTCCCACCTGGTGTGCGGGAGGCTCAGAGGGAAAGCGCCTTCTAGAGCATCCTACCAGGCTGAGGCCTGGCCAAAAAGCCGAGTTCTCATCCACCTGCCTGTGTGGATGTGTGACCATCATTTACCGTCACGAGCTGATGGAAAGAGGATGCATCCAGCCTCCAGCCCTGTGCGTCTCATTTGCTGGGGTGCCCAGCTGGAGCTCCTCGGCTGGCATTGTATGACCAGGTAAGACGTTGAAGGTCCCACTGCCAGGCTGTGTGACCTCAGGCCAGCCACTTCTCCCTATGCCTTGGTTTCTTTGCCTGGAAAATGGAATAATCACATCCCCACTTCACTGGGTTAGTGCTTAGAATGAGCCGTAGCTTAGCACGGTGACTCCCACATAGCAAGGGCTCTGTGAGCCTCAGCATGACCTGCCTTTCTTTCTAGTCTCAGCCCCAGACATAGGCCCTCACTTCAGCCTCAGCTTTGACCATTTCTGAACCACACCAGGCTCCATCCTACCTCCATGTTTGTTCATGCTGTGTTCTCTGCCTATAGTGCCTACCATGTCTGGAAACATCCTTTACCTACTGGCAGCAGAGATGCCACCTCCTGCAGGAAGCCTCCCTTGATTTCTTCCAGGTGGCCTCCCTCGTGCTGCTGGTTTCTTTGTGCTATCTCTATTTATCCCCTGGCCTCACCCTTCATGGCTTGTTAGTGGTGTCTTTCCCCCTGTGGGCTAGGAGCTCCTGTCTATGTCCCAGTTGTCTTTGGGCCATACTCAGGGCTTGAGAAAAGAGCGCCTGCTCTGAGTGGGAACCCCCACAATGGGCTGGGGCCAAGAGGCCTCTCACGGGTACCCCTGGAGGCTGAGCCAGACCACGTGACCTCCAGAGGTGACTCTCAGTTTGTCATCCCCTCCCTAAGGCCCTTCATGGGTTCCCCACTCTGTGCAGCACAAAGCCCAGCCCCTGACCCTGACCGCCAGTCTGTGGCACCCCCTCCCAGACTCACGGCATCTTGCTACCACCTGAAGACATTTGCCCTTTGAATGCCCCTGGGTTTTTTCCATGTGCTTTTCCCTCTGCCTAGAATATGAGTTGGTCCTCCTTTCTCAGCCCAGCCAACTCCTCCAGACATTTTACAACCCACTCAGCTGTTACCTCTTCCCTGAAGCCCTCACACTCAGTCCTGCTCCTTTTTCAAGGCTCTGACCACAGCTCCTATCTCGCCCAGCTGAGCCCCTGTGAGGTGGGGCAGTGACTCATTCATCCCTCCCACCCCATGCCACTTGGCTTGAAGCTATGGAGCCCTCAAGAGAGATGCCATCTTGGGACAAAAGAGACCTGGGTCCGGGACCTCTGGCCCCGCTTACTTGGCTGGGTGCCCTTTGGTCTCCACTTAGCTGTTCAAAGTGGGGGCTTAATGGCTCTTTTGCAGTACAGTTGAGGATTAGCCATCACATAAAATACTCCATCCTCCTAGGCATTAAAGAACTAATAGCCAGAATATTGCAGGCTTCCTGGGGCGGTAAGAATAAACTGGGGTGGGTGAGCATGAAAGGCTCTTCCACTTGCACGGGGCTCAGATGCGGTTGGGGCTAATCGGGGCTCAGATGCGGTTGGGGCTAATCGGATGCAGAACAGGCCTCTCTCCCTGGCACCCACCCCAGAGTGGGGACGTCCTTTCTGAGGCAGCCTTGAGACCCCCAGTGCCTGTCCCCTTCAGAGAAAGCTCTTGGAAGAGAAAATAAGAGCTCCCACACTTCCCCAGAAATGCTTGCATGCTAATAGCCGCGGACTTCACAGAGTGTGAAATCAGGAAAAACCAATTCCCTCAGAA